GTCTAGCCCCGGTAGCCCAAGAGACGGAGAAAGTGAAGGACGCCTTCATTCGCCGAATGTCAAGCCTTCCAGACATCGAATCAAAGTGGCAGGACAGGAACCTATCATCGATGCTGCAAAAGGAGTGCTATATGCCCTTTACCAACTCCACCCCCATGTTTCCTTATTAATATATGTGCTCAAGGGCGAGGACGCAAGGAGAAATAGCCTTGAGATTGTATTTTACAACGCAGAAACTCATCTGGAGCGGTTGAATGATGCGTTAGAAAGTGCAAGCCGGATCGACCTCCAAGATGCTGATGGGGTAATGAGAGTTTGCGAAGTCGTAAAACGCGAGTGTGAAACTTGTATCATGGCATATATACATGTTGCGACGCAACTTCGACTCGCTGTTGGCAGGGCTGTTTCCTTTGGAGATCCCAAGTTCCTCCGATCGTTATTGCTCATGATATTTGGGAGCCTGACTGAACTTCGAAATGCTTGTTCTCACTTGGGTATTAACTTGCATTCTGAACAACAAAGCTCTTCCGGGAAAAAGAGTCAAGCCTCTACTTCGATGGCAAAGAAAGGGCAACCCGTTAATACAGGCGAGTCGGCCGTAACGCCTACCGCGGAGAAAACTCCACCAACAAGGCGATTACGCAGTGATACTACGATTGTGCATCCTATAGCCGTTCCCAACTCAAACAATGTGATTTACCAGCAGCCAAATTCAAACATAACGCCTGTTCAATTCAACGCTCCCTACACACTGCCATCCGTGCCGATGTCACCCCAGAACTATGACTGCCGAAGCCGATCGAGCAGCAGATCCAATACCCGATTAACTTCGGGTTCGCCGTCATTAGCCAACACCCCACGGTCCGGCGAAACGTTCGGCACAACCAATACCTTAGCTTCTAGTCGTACCAACATATATGCGGCTTTAGATGAAGTTGAGGTGGAGCGAATATTTGAGAAGATATTCTTCCAGCTCACATCTGCATATACAGCGGCGCTACATGCACTACCCTATGCTGCTCGGCAATTTACCCAGTACCTTGAATTAGCTGAAGAGACGAGAGCACCAGAAGAACTACGAATCCTTTGCCATAAGCTGATTCTTCGGTGTCGTGTCTGTCAAGATGTATCAGAATCACTACGTCACCGCCTCTCAAACATGACATTAAAAGAGCCTGGCTATGGGACTAGGAACCAGCGCGAGTTTTGGCAACTTTGCAAAACTTTCATTCAGGTATTCGTCGAACTAGTGACAGACATGCGGGAGGCAAGGAATTTCAACCTCATCAATCCTGAAGTCGTCATTGTACTTCGCCCTGTGCAGAAAGCAAGCAGAGAAGCCGGTCGGCTGATTGATGCTTCTCCTTGGTCTTACCTGGCTGAATTGAACACTTCCAACCCGACGACATTTTATCCACCTCAAACCCAAGCCCAGCATTTCCCACACTACACCAATTCTTCAACATCGACGATGTTGAGTACGGCCTCGACGTTGACCAATGGATCATCATCACAATTCGTACCTCTTCCTGCAACACCATTAAGCGCTGCGCTTGGTCCAGCAGCTCAAGCAACAGTACCATCAACACCTGCGAGCGCGTATAGTGACCGATTCTTCGCGGGCGATGTGTTCCAAAGAGCAGACTCTGTCCTCAACACTGCCAACCCGGCACCCATGTTTGCGCGTCGATGATGCCATCATACAACGTCCTTCTCAGTATCCCCATCCACAAACTTATCGCTGTACAACTGTGCAACCATATTCCCTTTGTCATATTATAATGTTGACATGCAAGCCATATCTCATTCTACGAATATCCCGAGCATCTATGTTCCCGTTGTTTTACTATTGTTATTTTTATATTTTGCCAAAGTTAGTAAAATCTCAAAAACAATCTATTGGTGTTCAATTTGGTGGAGAAATATAGTCAGCTATTAGGCACCTTAGGTCCCTTTTTTCATTTATATTTTTATGCTTTTTCCACCCATACCTTTATATATATATATATATATATATATTTGTTATTTGCTACCACTTTTGCGGGAAATTGCATTGCGTCGGAGAAGGTTTTCATATTTCAGTTTTTTTTTTTTTATACAAAACTCTTTGCTGAGCGATATATACATCTTTCAAAAAGACCTACGGGGAACATCGGTGAAACTGAGGAGACAAAATTTTGGCTAATATCCCCTGTTTTTCTTATTGATTTCTTTTTCTTTCTACTTAGAATCCTTTTTTTTTTTTTTTTTTTTTTTTAACGAGATATCTTCAATAGGAAGGAAAACATTTGTCTAAATCCCCTATTATCAATACTGGACAACAAAGCAAAACTAGTTTCTTCTAACTCACAAGTGGGTTTCCACCGAGTTCCTGGTACAATTGAGAAGTTGACACAGGGAAAAAAGCGAGAATTTGATCAACAAATAATCCAAGTATCTCACTCACTTCCCCCTAGGATGACTTCCTTCACATACCAAAACATCTCCTCTGGCTGATCAAATGGTACAACATGCCCCGCATCATTAAAGAGATGATAAGTCAGCCCGCGCTCTGCAGTCCATATGCCCCAAGTGGAGTTGTTCGTCCCATAATATCGAGGCTGAGCTGTGGATCCAGCGCTACTGCCACCCTTGCGAACACCAAAAGACGTCGTGGGCCGTTGCTACCCTGACGCCTGTTCCAGGTCATGTTTTGTAGGACAAGTTCGACGGCTATGTGGTTGATGAGCATGTCTAACTTGCCATGGTAGATATGCGTAGAGATATTGTGCGTCGATATAAAGTCTGGTATGATGAAATATGCTGGTGGTGTTGGGCGGGTTAGCTGGACCCAAAAGAGCTTGTATAATCTCGCTATTGCCTCCTTGAAACGGGTACGGTTTGTTACGTTTCTTGCTCGATTTGCCGGTATCAGAATGCGGAATATGCAGTGAAGTTTGGACGTCTACCCGATTTAAATAGGCAGTCAGCGCGCCCAGAGGGTTGACAGTGCGCAATCGTATTTGATGATGTTAGGTTAAAGCAATCGTGAGTTAAATAAATTGGAGCGCGTCTCAAAGTAGTCAGCCGCAGTAGAGAAGGTCGCACAAGGCCCGTGGCAAGTGGAATTCAGAATTGATTCCATCACGGAAGTATACTCTCTCGGGTGGGTGTTGCATTCGGCCATTGGGCCGGCATCGCTATCCGATGGCGTCCTGCAAAGTTCGTCACGTCTAAAGTTCAGGTTTTCTGCGTTTCCCGGAACACTTATCGGGCCAAGGGGGTGGGTACTCGTTTGCTTCGTTCAAAACGGTATCAAATTTGCAAATATGGTCAGCCGAGGAAAAAGGCATGTATGACGTCCTGGGGGATATCAAGGATGGGTGCATTCGTTTCCAGGTACGCTCCCACCGCGACATCAGCCATAACAGCGTTGTTCCCAAGTATCCCATTGCCCACAGAAATCGACTTCAGATTAATCGGAAGTGAATCGCGATGTTTTATGATCTCAGAGGCAAAATAGGGGACGAAAATGCCCGCATATGACTCTCCCGCTAGGTGGGTTTTCTTCTCCAGCAGATGAGGAAATTCGCCGTAAAACTCTCCTAACTAGGCATAAAGGTCCGACGTGACTTTTTCATTTTTAGAGATGGGTTTCGAGCTGCTCGATGTGGAAAATCCAGTGCCGACCGGCTGATCGATATACAAAACACTCCCCAACCTCGTCTACGAATAAGGGTTTGCAGTCGGCATCGAAGCGTTTCCAACAAACGTGAGAGGCCCGCTTTCTGAGAGAGCGCCGATGACCGAGCTACAACCAGGTCCGCCCTTAAAAAAAAATGATTTATCACATTGTCAATGCCTTTCACGCCAACCTAAAATCCACCGCACAGTAGCTTTCGTAGGGCGAGAGGCTTACTGATGAAGTTACTATCATTTTCACGGTTTTCAGCTTCAAAAAGCCAAAAGAACAGAGCATTCCCTTCCTCCGCTCCTGATATCGGAATTAAGCCAGCATGGCTAGGAGGGAGAGTGGGATTTCCTGGAAGTGGCCCAACCCTGAATCGAGATGCGTCGGTCCTGGTATGGCGGTAGGATCTAATGGGGGACAAATTTGGAACCGTCCAGGTAAATGATAGGAATAGAAGTAGATCCGACCAATTCATCGCGCTTGGTGTTCAAAAAAGGGGAAAAACCTGAAGCGAATATGGATAAATACTAGAAAATCGAACGGCAAAGAATCGTGGATTCGAATTCTTAAGACCAGTCTGCGCCTGACGGATGAAATGGAAGCGTTGAAAGCGAAACGGGTGGGGTTTTGGTCAATAAAATCTCTCACATGTTGAAATAGCCACTTCAAAAAATCACTCCGCTTCAATAATGTCCACCCCATCAATAACCCAGTTAAATGACTGGGAATATAAATATAAAAGCAAGGTAACAGAGATGTCATGCATCAGAACACTTTGTCGCCGTTTATGGGTCTCAATAAACCCGTCACTGGTAAAATGGGGTCAAAATGATGTTTTAGTGTCATTCAAAGCAAGCTTGAATGCATAAGGAAGATATGGTAGTTGGAAGTGGTGATAAATCCAAGATTGCAAAATTGTCCTTTCGCCGTCGTTTGCACCCAAACATGCTACTTGGTTGTAGATATCATCTATCGTGAACATCGACAGGGGCGTCTAGCTAATCACGTGAAAGCTACTACAGCCCTGGAGATGCGGGAGGATTTTGGTTGGTTTTGCATGTTTGCAAAAACAAAGGTCAACAAAATATGAAAACGAATAAAGAAGAGAAAAGGAAGGGGGGGGGGGGGGCGCGCTATAAAGCTGACTTCTTATATCTCTCTATGCAGGTAAGAAGAGTGCACCAGCTCAAGTGCCTCGGTCACCAGTAGTTGCCATATCAAATAACAAAGGAGAGGTGTTTATAAACGGAGCAACGACTACAAATTCAAGTTTGCAGGTTAAAGGAAATCGTTCAAGAGTTGTCATGCGAGCAGTAAGCAA